CGAAAATGTGACCCCACCAACGGATTCCTCGTTCGGAGAGAAATCCATTTGTGGGGTCACACGTTCGGTTCGAGCCCCGCTTGGCGACTCTCGGAGCTCAAAACGGGTCTTTGGCCGCCGCCACCGGTCTTCTGGCCCACTGGAAGCCCACTGGCCAGTCCGCCCACTGCAGTGTAATTAAGACGCCTGCCAAACTTATGCAATAAGACGAACAACTGGGGCAGCGAAAAAGAGAACAAGCAGCGCCAAACTGTCCCGCCGCCCATTTTTATTCATACCCCTCCCCCGACTTTCTTACTCTCCCGCGACATTTTTTTTTCGGGCCGAGCGTTTGAGAACCGAAAGCAGCCGGGTGTCGGCCCCTCACTCACTCGCAGTGCACACCCGCGGGGCGCGGGGCGCAGCGGGCCCGGAGGGGCGCACCAAAGGGAGTGCTTGTACATAAACTCGTCACACAGCCCGGTAGTGTTCCGGATTGGGTGGGCGGTCAAAACCCGATGACTCCAGAGCGACTCTAGAACTCGGCCGGTGAATGCAGTGCAGGCACTGCCGACGGGATAGCCTAGGCTCTACGCCAGCCTACTGACAGTGCCTGCGAGCGGCACTGCATTCACCGGCCGAGTTCTAGAGTCGCTCTGGAGTCATCGGGTTTTGACCGCCCACCCAATCCGGAACACTACAGCCCGGCCAGCCCTTTGGAGAGTCTGAGCTGGAGCCTGAGCTGGTGTCACATGTTGATAACCAGAAGTGATGCTCCGAGGCAGCGCCCCGCAAGCGGCACAAGGGCTGCAAGGGCCTGGAGGGCCCCCTCCGGCCTTTCGGACATACCCCTTTCGGGGCCCTCCGAGGCCCTTGCAGGCCCTCCGAGGCCCTCCGAGGCCCTCGGCACACGCGGCTCAATCGGCCCTTTGTCCCGGCCGCCATAAGCCGGCCACTCCAGGCGCCGCCTTTCTATCCCCCTCCCCTCTTCCCCGCCCAATGTTTTCTATCTTAATAATTTTCAATACCGCCGCCGCCCACGGTCTTCTATCCCCGCCCAGCCGTTTTCTATCCCCTCCTTTGCAGTTTTCCGTCCGGCCTCTCTGTCTGCCACTCCACACATCTTCCCCGCCCGGCCTTTGAAACATTTTTGCCCGTCCTGTGTGGTGCCCACGGTGCCCGTGGTGCCTGACCCAGAACGGCCGGGCGTGGCGGCGCGGCGGCGAGGCGGCGTGGCCCTCTGCAGCTGCTTGTGTGTATGAATGAGGGAGAGCCCCCCCCCCTCCCCTCCGCCCTCATCACAAAGGCAGTTGGGAACGAGCGGCACAAACTAGCCCTTCACCAAGCAGCAGCAGCGGCGGCGGCAGAGAAAACGGAAAAGAATAACGTGGCTGGCGGCGCTAGCGGCGTGAAGCAACTTACCGGGGGTCGGGCCGGTCGGGCCAGCCGTTGACCCCGGGTTCAAATCCCGGCGCGCTCCCCACGCTTTTCTTCTCCTTGTTTTGTTTGTAAAAGCGAGAGAGGCCGGGGGTGGAGGGGGGAGGCGTCGACTACTAAAAAGCCAATTCAAACCGTCCCACACAGCCACACACTCCCCGGATAGGTTCAGACGGCCAGGAGCACCCTTCCGCGGCCAGTGCCCCCCCCCCCTTTCCAGTGGGCCAGAAGACCGGTGGAGGCGGCCAATACTCTAGACGCGTTTTGAGCTCTGGAGTCGCTAAACAGGCCTCGAACCGAACGTGTGACCTTACCAATGGATTGCTCTCCGAACGAGGAATCCATTGGTGGGGTCACACGTTTGGTTCGAGTCCTGTTTAGCGACTCTGGAGCTGAAAACGCGTCTAGAGATTTGTCCGCCTCCGCCGGTCTTCCGGGCGCCACTCCTACAAACGCGTGGAGTTCCACGAAGCCTCCACCGCGGCCTCGGTGCTTCGCAGAGCAGCGTCTTCGCGGAAGGCCCCGCCGAGACCGCTGCGAAGCAAAGCAAGCAAACCCTTCCAGGCCCTTCCAGGCCGTTCCAGGTTGGGGCTTTTAGCGGTGGCGCGGCCGTCATGGCAACTCCCAAATGCGCGGCGGAAGCAGACCGGCGAATATTCCATTAATGCCTCTCGATAATGCCAATCCCCATCAAATATTCGGCCTCGTTGTTTTGCCGGCCGGCCGGCCGGTCATCAAAACGGCCCGGGACGTCATCAACCAAAAACGGCGGGAAGGCTGTCTCTCTCGCACTCGCGGCGCGTCCCGTAGGGGTGCGAGAGAGACAGCGCGACGAAGGCACGCTGCTCAGGACCGGCCAAAACTCTAGACGCGTTTTGAGCTCCAGAGTCGCTAAATGGGCCTCGAACCGCACGTGTGACCCCACCAATGGATTCCTCGTTCGAAGAGCAATCCATTGGTGGGGTCACACGTTCGGTTCGAGTCCCATTTAGCGACTCTGGAGCTCAAAACTCGTCTGGGATTTCGACCGCCTCCACCGGCCTTCTGGCCCACTGTGCAACCGCACCTGCAGCATCCAGTGCCGCCGAAGTTTTGGCACGACACGACCGCCACCAGGACGACGACGAGGAAGACGGGGAGGACGGCGTCCCGAATGAAACGTATTCATGCGGATGCTGGCGCTGCGTCGCGCTGCGTCCCGTAAGCATGTTATTACAGCGACCACAGATGGCGCCACGGCCCCCTGCCAACGCGTGCCACCCTCCCTCCGTCTCTCTCGCACTCGCGCGCCGGCCCGCACCCTGGCCGCACCCTGCCCGCACGGGCCGCGGGGTCGCGAGAGAGACAGCGACGTGAGCAAGAAGAACACACACTCGGCGACAAGGCCGCGAGCGGGCGGCCGACTTGAAGGGGACCTCGAAGGGGGAGGCGGGACTTTACTTCCAATAAGACAGCCACGTGGCTTAGGGGAGGCGTGCCGGCTGCCTGCCTGCCTGGCTGCCAGCTCGGGCAGGCGGCAGCCGAACTAACCGGGGCCAAAGTTGGGTCTCATCTCGCGGCCGGGCAGGCCGGGCAGGCTAGGCAGAGAAGGCGGAGCCTCTAGGCCTCTGTGTTGTCAAAACAAACGCAGAGGAAGCGGAGGCCCTGTCTGCCCCGTCCGCCCCGCCCGCCCTGCAGCACTCCGGTGGCGCAGTGTGCACTTTAATCCTACCCCCACCCCTCTCATTATTACAATTAGTTAAGCCAGCAAGCCCGCAGCAAAGACGCGCGCAAATCATGGAAAAGGCGGGGGAGGGGGATGTGCGTCTGCGGAATAATTCATATGGTGGATTCGCCGTCGGTGAGGGAGTGAATGGACGCACGCGGGGAGGGGAGGGGGAGGGGGTGATGGTGAAGGGTGTAATGCCAAAGGGTTGTTGACAGTCAGGGGATGCGATGGTGAAAGGTGGGCAGTGGAGGGTGGAGGCGGGGTGGAGGCGGGGTGGAGGCGGGGTGGAGGCGGGGTGGAGGCGGGGTGGGCGCGGCGAGCCTGCAGGCGGTGGGAGGGCGGTCCGGGGCGGTCCGGGGCGGCTCGGGGTGGCGGGCCACTCCTTTGAGGGCATCTGCCGCTAATTCGCACATGCACATTCACACCCAGCCAGCGGGAAGGAGGGCAGGGCACGGCGGCAGGGCGGCCCCACACTGTGGCACCCCGCCCCACAGTGGGCCAGAGGACCGGTGGAGGCGGTCAGAACCCCCGACGCGAATTGCGCTCCAGAGTCGCTAAATGGGACTCGAACCGAACGTGTGACCCCACCAATGGATTGCTCTCCGAACGAGGAGTCCATTGGTGGGGTCACACGCTCGGTTCGAGTCCCGTTTAGCGACTCTGGAGCTCAAAACGCGTCTAGAGTTTCAGCCGCCGGCGCCGGTCTTCTGGCCCACTGTGCCCGGCCAGTGCACGCCCACCTCCTCGCCGCCCCGCCCCGCCGCTATGCAGGTAACAAACTTTCCCGCCAAAGGGGCGCGGCGCGGCGCGGCGCGGCGAGGGGGTGCGCCATTTATTTCAAAGCGCCGCGCCGCGAAAGCACATTTCATACCGCGCCGCCAATGTGTGAGTAATCAAAGGCAGGGAAGGGGAGGTCGACGACGCCGAGGTGGAGGACGAGGCGGCGGCCAAACAATTCATTAACCCGCGGCGAGATAAATAGCGCCGCCATTCGGTTGCTTTTACACCATCGGATAAGGGACCAACTTTCTCCAAGAGTACTTTCCCCTCTCTTTTTCCCTCCCTTTTTTTATACCTCCTTCGGAATCGAGCTAATCCACTGGGGGGGGGGGCGCGCCCAGCATTCTGCCAGCATTCTGCCAGTCCGCCAGTGTGCTCGCCCGGTCGGGCGGTGACAGCTTACCGTTCTTATCACTCGCCCAAATTTCTCCCCAGGATTAGTCCGTCGCGAAGACTCGGCCGAGGCGGCGAGGCGGCGGGGCGTCGACCGGGGTAAGTGATTAGGCCGCGCAGAGAAGAAGGGAAAGAAAGAGACAGCCAAAGAACGGCGGGGGAGAAACAGAGAGAGAGAAGCGCTCGCCTCCGTCCAAATTCGGCGGTCGGTCGCCATGCTGTCTTACTGTCGTGCATTTTGCCTGGAACCCACTTGCGTCATTTTTAAACGAAGACGGGCTTCCATGCAGCGAGCCCCACGAGCCAATCCGACCTAACCTGACCCCGTCCGAGCCGACCTAACCTCGCCAGCCGCGCCAACGCTCGGACAGGGAATGACCACATGACAGCCCGAGCGGCAAGCGCCACAGGGGCGACCGGCGCGCAGTGGGCCAGAGGACCGGTAGGGGCGCGTTTTGAGCTCCAGAGTCGCTGAATGGGACTCGAACCGAACGTGTGACCCCACCAATGGATTGCTCTCCGTACGAGGAATCCATTGGTGGGGTCAAACGTTCGGTACGAGTCCTGTTTAGCGACTCTGGAGCTCAAAACGCGTCTCGAGTTTTGGCCGCCGCCACCGGTCTTCTGGCCCACCGTGCGCTGCCGCGCTGTCCGCGGGGAAGGCCCACGCTGCGAGTCGCGCGTTGCACTGCGTTGCACTTACCTAGTTCCACCTTCATCTTGGGCCTGATGTTGTCCTGCCAGTTGAGCGCGGGGACGATGGGCACCGCCAGCAGCACGACCAGCAGCAGCAGCATCCAGGACAGCCGCGCCGGCCGCGGGGCGGGGAGGGGGAGGGGGAGGGGGGCTGGGGCGGCTGGGGCTGCCAGCACACCGCCACAAGGCCCCATGGTACCACTGTCGCACTCACACAAATCACTGGCGCCGCATGTCACACTCGGCACACTCGCCACACTGCTTCGTCACGCCTCGTCACGGCACTGACACGCGTGCGGTCTGGGCCATGCCGCTAGGCCGCGCGCCGCTTGCCGCTCCGAGTCCTTGGTCGGACCGAGACCCACGGCAGACTGGCGAGGCGACTCTCGCGCGGCGCGGCGAGGCGAGGCTAGACGCGCGTCGCGACGCCGGCAAGGGTGGGGGTGCGGCTTGTGCGGCTCTAGGAGGCCTGGCCGGCCCAGCGGCGACGCCAGCGCCGGCACAACCCCTGGCGGAGGGTGGCGGAAAGCTCGCCGCGACGCGCCGCGACGCCTGCAACAGTAACCATGGCAACGTGAGACGCGCTGCTCTCTCCTCCCTGTGAGACACCCCTTGGAGCCGTAGCGTGGCGGCGCGTAGCGCGCAGCGCCAGCAGCGCCGAGAAACCGGACCCCAGTGTTGGTGTCCGGTGGGGGTGGGGGCGGCGCGGGGGCGGCGCGGGGCGCAACGTACCAAGGACGCCGCGGTGCGCGACGCCCCCGCGCCGCCCCCACCCCCACCCCCACCCCCACCCCGCCCCTTGGCCTCGTTCACACAAAGGGACCGTTCCAAACGTCAGTGGCTTCCAAGGGGTGTTCCAAGGGAGAATGTTCACATGTGAGACAAAGGGCTCACACAGAGGTCACATCACATTCGCACCAGCGGGGTAGCCTTGAAAAAAAATAATGTTGGGGCTACAACCACGCGGCTCACAGTTTAAAAAAATAATTCAACGCACCAAAGCTGGGGGTTTAATCCAACGTAACAATAGCGGTAGGTTGCATTCCAACCCCAATGTCAAACTGAGACCACGCAAAACAATGACATAAATGTGGAAGAAACGGGACTTGACATTGGGAGATTGTGCTGAGAAGTTTGCATTTACATTGAGTATCTTGAATGTTAACTTTCATAATAAAAGGCTCCAAATTAGATTTGATTCAATAAAAATTCAACAAAACGTTGCATTATCAACTCAATATCTCATGACAAATAATTCTTTTCACAGCTTTCCATCAGGGTCTAGAGCGCCTAGCATTGACAGAAGGAAAAGCAACCTGATCGAAACTCTACCAAAAAATAACAGAAAACATCTGAAAACACAGTTACCAATGCCCTCCAGGTGAGAATCAAGTCTCAAAAAATTAAAACAATTAAGGACTGGTTGATTTTTTTAATATGATCATCATAACCACAGTACACTATTTTTCTTCAGGGATGATTGTCAAAGCATGTCAAGATGAAATCTCAAGTCTTCATTGAGACACAGTGCCTTCGTATACATTAGTATGGTCTTGAATTTTTATAATATAGTGTGCAGGTTCAATCTACCATTAAAATATATAAGTAAACTTGATATCATAACTTAGAAAAAGAAACAGTATCAAATTTGAGGGGATACACGTTTCATTCAAACCTTTGACATGGCAGTATGAGGGACTAATATTTTGATAGAACAACCAAGCATATGTGTTGGACACCTCGACTAATACGCCGTCTTTCAGCCAACTGGGGCCGTCACTCAGACAGATAGAGCTTGACACTTCAATAAGACGGATTACTTGAGTTCGTAGAAAGGGCTTTGACCTTTCTAAATATGACGTTTATGAATGTAAACAAACGCTGACACGATACACAGAGCGTTTAACCAAGCAGCAGAAACTCTCGTCCTTCGCACACTCACCACGGAATCTAGACGGCAGCAGCGAACTAGCTGTGAGAGAGGCCGGGCATTTACGAGTGTATCTCGCCCATTTATTCCGTCCCGGACCTATTTTGGGATCCCAGTTCACTGTCGTGGTCTGCCGTTATGTTCCATTCATTTGGATCCCAATGTTCACGTAAATAGTTGGCTTCCATGAATGGTCTCTCCTTCGAAGAAAAATGCACCAGTCCCACGGACGCAAGGACTCTACATCAGATCACTTGTTAGGGTTGAATTCGGCGATAACAATTAAGATAATCCCGGAAAATAGACATTTGGAGGCGTACACTGGGCACGAACTGTCACAACAGGACAGCCATGTTTGGTCAATCAATGCTCCCCAAGACTGCAACCCTCGCGGAGCGAATGGGCAAGATAAGCGGTAAGATCAGACCCCTAACAGGGACTACAAAAATTTGGTCTTTTAATTCGCTCTAAACTAGTCCTAGAGGTAGGTTTTAAGGCACTAATACAAAGACGGCTCTAAATTTCTCTCCCATCTATAGCTTAGTGAAAACTTAGACGGTCTGGTAGCACTGCTCTACGAACTAGTATGAAAAAGTTGTCGTTGCATTTGATTTAGCAAGAGCGGGGCATTTGAAGGTGTGTGTGTTGAGGTGCTGGCCCAGTCATCTTTCCATTTACAATTTAGTGAGAGCTGTGTTCATGCTTCGTGCAAGCTAAATCTGTAGTAGGTCTTACAGCTTGCTACTTTTGCTGCCAAAAATAAATCACATGATTTTCAGAAAATTTTTAACAGAGAAGTGATGTGAAAAAATACTTTAATCAACAAATGTACATCTTACAATTATAGCTCAGCTCGACTTTTCCATCACGATATATTACAAAGGCACATACTTTCATAAGTCATACCCATACCTAACAAAATTTAGGGTCCTTTTGTCCCCTTGAAAAACAAAATACAGAGAATTAAATAACTTAAATACAGTATGACAGTGTGACATGAGATCAGAAAAAGAATTCTCAACATCAAAGTTTAAAAGCGGACTCCAAACAAGAAACACAAAAATAGTCTAGCATTTTTTAACAGATTGATTAACGAAAAAAAAGGAAAAAATTATTTTGGAAAAATGTTTACTCTGTATCACTCTCACTGGTATCACTATCACTACTTGAATGATAATTATTAAGAGGCCTCCGATTAGGGTTGCCACTTTCATCATCATCTATTGACTCAGCTTTATCAAAGCCTTCAGGCCATTTATTAATTTCACGCAGGTAGCGAATATAATCTGAAGTTACCGGGCGTACCATTTCAGCACGAACCTTGTCACCTTCAGCTATTGGCTCTACAAGTACAAAATCTCCCCTTTTCACCCACACATTTTTTCGGAACTTTGTTGGCATTGATATAAGATAAGTTTCTCCAGCAGAAGTCTCTACTTCATGAAGGTTATTTCCCACGCTTGCTCGAATTTTGACAATCTCTTGATTTTCCTTTGGAGGCTCCAACTCTTCAAACAGCACATCACGCATCACGTGTTTACGTTTTGTTGCTGCAGACATCTCTCCTGGGAACAAAACAGAAAAAAAACAACAAAAGTGTTAAGAAATTATCAAAATACAGTAATTAAACAATGATATTTTTACAAAACAAATGAACACTATTAGTCTAAAACCCCATTTTTCAACTTCATTAATGGTTTTCAAGCTAGCCAAATGCCCCCAAAAGTTGTTAGTTACTGAAAGTAAAATGCACTAAGTACTTGTAGATTTACATCAAACTGAACTGGCACAAGACTACTGCAGGGACAAAGTGAAAGTGTACCTCTTTTGGTTTGATAGAAGGGCAGCTGGTCCTCCAGCCTTCTCAATGGATTTGTAAATGTCTAAGTTCTCTCCAGGCTGGATGCCATACCCCTTCAGAAGTCCATGAGGGTTGGATGGGGTTTGGCAGTTATCATGGGCCTCCTTACGAAGAGTTTTGTCGACTTCCACTGATGTAAAAAAGGCCACTGACAATGGCAGGTCCGTCAGGCCTAAACGGGAAACACAAAATGCTCTGGTGAGCAAATGGGCGACATGGAGAGCCAAAGCAGCATGATGAGCCCTGTCATCCGGAACAAGATACCGCACTTCGTCATGAAAGCTGAGACAGAATCTGGCATCAGGTTCTAGCCACTTGAACGCAGTAAGGAGCAAATGCAAAAAGTCCACAGCACCACTTTGCACAACCCAGTTGATGCGAGTGGGCAGATTTTTATCTTGCTGACTCTCAAGAGCACGGCTCAATCTTCCTCCAAGGAATGGAGTTTCAGGGGTCCTGCTATGCGCAATTTCTTCCAAGCGATTGAAAACAGCAGATTCTGTTCCCCCACTCCATGCTAGCTTAAATATATCAGATCTTTTTGCTCCAAACTGACCAGCAGCCATGGTGGATGCATCATATGGTGAGTACGGACCAGCTGGAACCATACCACTATGTTTGGCATTAGGCACATACACTCTTCTTCCTTTTGTCATGCGGAACATTTTTTGTGCTTTGGATTTTGCTTCATCAACTGACATGGATGGATTGAATTGTTTTAGCAGTTGTTCAGCAAAGGGTACACCAGCTCCATAAATTCTAGCATAATTGATAACTTTGGCATGGTCTCGAGAGATACCAACTGCTTTGGCAGTCACACTATGCATGTCTGTTCCATCAGACTTGCGACCACTGATGGTCATCCAGCCGAATGGAGTACCGCCATGTATTTTAGAGGCATAGGCATCACCGATTAAAGATGCAATCCACAGTTCCTGGGAATCCACATCGGCGCCAACAATGCTGTAGCCACGTGGTGCTTGAATCATAGCTCGGAGTTCAGATCCAATTCGTTCCTTGGAAATGTTGGAGGCAGTCATCCAGGTTCTTTCAACAGCTCTTCTAGTGAGAGTACCACAGATAATCAGCTGAGGTAGAATAGCACCAGCAGGAAAATCTTCCAGATCTGATGGTAAATCTTTAGCAGTCAACCAGACAACCATCTGCTTCATAATCCGATCTCTGTTGTTTCTCCAATAAGAAAGTTTCTTAGCTATATCCATCATTCTTTCAGCAACAGAATCACCTGAAAGAATATTTTCAGAGAACTTTACTATAAAATCACGCCCTAAAGGATCACCAACTCGAAGTCCTACTCCATTTTTATGAGGCAACCTTGCAAGGACAACACCAGGGCAAACTTCCACATCGCCACCACATTTTCTATCCTCTTCTGGGATGGACTTCCAATAATCAATAAGCTCCTTGATAGGCAGTTCATTGGCCTCATCTATAGGGGGTAACTCATCCATATCCAGAGGTCTCAGACTTCCCCATCCCTCTCCTCGAATATAATGAACGGGATATTTTTCCCAAGTGAGGTGAAGAAGTTTTGGAGAGACTTGCATCTTTGTTGTTATAAGCTGGGGACCTGGAGACCAGTCTTCCTGCTTTGGAGGCACACAAAGTTTTCGATACCACGTTGGGTATCCAGGTAAATGAGGAGGCTTCAGGGGAAGCTGAAATCCTGAGTCAATAATGGTCTGGACTTCTGGACTAGCAACAATCTCTTCTTCAAATTCTTTATCTCTTTTGTTTAACTCGTTAAGAATCACATGAGGCTCTGCAATCATATCTTCATCAGTCTCTTCATTGGCCACAGTTTCTTCTGTCTGATCGGGTTCTTTCAACCTCGCTTTTCGCTTCGTGAGTTTTAGTTTTTGTGTACTCCAATCTTGGTCCCACATCCAAAGATCTTTCCTATACTTCTCATCATGCATCAGGCTGCAGGCTTCATCAGCTCTCCTTGCAAGTTGAAATCTAGCTTCTACACCCAAGTCCTGGTATGTTTGTTCAGAGTTTTCTAAATACTGGATCCAATTTCGGTTGACAGGAAGATATGCCATGGAAATTTCTAGCATTCCAGCCAAAGTTACAGGATGAGGAAACCGTTTTAAAAATAGTGGAAAGAGGGCTTTCAATATTTCCTGGGTCGCAGCAACATCAGACGCACAATAAGACATACTTGATTGGAAGTGACGTCGAACATCACTCAAGGTTCCATCAATGAAAACATCTCTTCCAGCCTTATCTAGTTCCTTGCCACAATACAGCTTAAGCACCTCTGCCAACCCATTCAAAGATGTATTCTCTTGAAGTGCAGCAAGATCTTCTGCATCTGACGAGCTTTCTTCATTTCCAACACTTAATTCCGTGTCTTCATTCTTTGCCTTTTTGGCTCTAGATAACAGTGATTTCTGGTAACTAGTCACACCACTAACACAGATGTGCAGAGACATAGTATCCACAAAACGCATTCCTGTGGGCTCAAGCCAATACTGCTCCTTTATACGAGCTCTATCATACATAACATTATGCCCTACAGCCACTCTGGGTCTTTTGACTTTTGAAGTTGAATTTTTTTGATTTGGACCACTTTCAAGAGGAATGAGATGTTCAGTGGAATATTTTTCTTTCATTGAGGCTGAAATAGTACCATCTGTGAGACTAGAAGAAACCCATCCATACCATGCTTTGGAACTAGCAGCAACTGCCAAAGTAGGCAACTGTCCGGCACTTTGACACACTTCAATATCAAAAACAATAGCATCTTCTTCAGGAAAATTCACTTTCTGCGGTGGCTGTCCTGGGATGTACTTGGTCCAGCCAGCCTGCAGCTCCCACACCGATGGTTTCTCAACAAGAGGTGCTGTCATACTTTCCAGAAGTAGACGATATGGCTCACTCTGCTGTCTTCCAATAGCCATGAAGTGCTCCTCCACATTGGACCCTTCCAACGGAGGAAGTTTGAGATCTACTTCTGGGGCAGTGCCAACACTGTCTACATTCAGTCCATATTTTTTCAGCGCTTTTAAAGAAATTTTCACATCCTTGTCAGAGTATGATGGTCCTAGGTTTCCAAATAAATGATGCAAGATGTTACTAGGCAGCATCTGAATGCCACAGGGATTAATTCGAGTAGCATTTTCAACTGATTTGGAATGCAATGTGGAATTAATATTAGACTTGACTTTCTTTGGAGGCTGCTCAGAAGGCTGAGGAATAGCAAATGTGGATTCCACATTTGCTGTTGTGGAAGGATCTGTGCTTTGGTTTGATTGATTGGCATGCTGAAATGTGGTCAGCTTCAGCTTTTTCACAGCCTTTGGACTTCGAATGAGATTATTCAAAATCATTCTGTCACTCTCTTCCACCGATGCTCCTTTGGTTTGAGGTCAGCTTGATCAATCGTCCTCTGCTCCTTCCATGGCACTGCAATACCACACAATAACCAGTTAAATTTATGTTAAGCAAATATCGACTAATACTATGATATTTCAAGATTGAAGAAATCTGTTCCGAACTACTACATTAAAATTTCTTTTCTTTCTTTAATAAATAAAGCAACACGTCTTTCATTCAACAGTCCATTTCCAGATCACATGATGATGGCTTTGTAAATTAATTATTGGTTGAAAATTCAGGTTTGGAATACATTAGTGCCTCCTTAAAAGTCAACTTTAGAGCATTAATTGAATCCTCCCTAAAGTGGGAACTGAGAGTTACATGGGGCAGTTCTGCTGCTATTTTAGGGATATCACTCAGGCCAACTTGAGCAGCGCAAAATGCTGCTGCATATAGGTGGGCAATGTGGAGGGATTTGGCAGCACAATACTTGCTTTCATCAGGTACAAGATATTTCACATGCATCTTTAGAGAGCCAACAGAACACAGCCGAGCACTTGGCTCTAAATCACGGAAGCACATCATAAGCACATGCAGATAGTCAACTGCAGAGCTTCTCACCAACCAGTTCTGAATTAGCTTCAAGTATTTCTTTCTATCACTCTCTAGGACTCTACTGAGGCGAGTTTTAAGGATGGGTGTAGCTATCTTTTCACTCTCAATCATTTCCTGGAGCTTGAGTAAGAAATCATCAAAAATTCCACCAGGTCTTGCAAGCTTTCCATTTTGGGACATAAAGGGACTGCCACAAAGGTATGTTAGGAGCTGATCGGCCTTTTTGTAAACTTTCACATCACTCAAGAGTGGGTTTATCTCCCTCAGCATTTTAGCCAAGTATCTCTTGTTTGCACCCCAAAGCACAGCATGAAACAAAAGCTCTGATTGCAACTTGGTCAGCTTCATGTGCTCCGAAATACTAGAGTAAACTTCACCATCAACAAACATTTTCCCAATTGGGGTGTGGCCGCATTCACCACTCACGCTGTCTGCCAGCAGACAGGTCATCCACAGATTGGTGTCTGGAACAGTTGCGGAGAGAAAACTCCAACGAGGAGGTGCTTCAAAGGCTTGGTTTACTTCAGTCCCTGCACTGCATTCTGGCTCACTACAAAACGCAGAGAAAAAGACTTCCTTGGGATGTCGTGCAAAGTCACCACACGCAGAGGCTGAGGGAACCACAGCTCCACTCGACTGGCTCTCATCATACCAAACTACTGGAAGCATTTCAAATGCTTTACTGTTTCTCTTCCAAAACAGATTTTTTCTAAGAATCTTGAGAATGCTTGTTGCTTTAGAATTGTTAGAGCGTAAACATGGATTCATCAGCAAATGAATGGACATGGGGCCCCCTACATTTTTATCAATACTTAAATAATGTGGAAGCTTCTTAAAAATTAATCCATTTTGCATAAAAAACTGAGTACCCTCTTGGTTTTTGAATCCAGGAGCACCACTACTAACATCAGAATTTGATGCAGTGACACCACTTTGCAGAGACTCATAGTCTCTCAATGAGGGAATCGAGCTAATTCTTGGCCGAGGGAGAACATCACAGTGCTTTCTAATACTTTCTACAGGAACTCTGCCATCCACTTGATCCCTTGCTCCACTTGCAGCCTTGAAGGCTGGGAGAAGCATGCCCCAACCATGGTCATTTTCATAGTGAAGAGGAAAACAGCCCCAACTCAGCTGCATCAGTTGGGCAGAAATATTACTTCTTAAGTTTAAATGAATGTCGGATTCAGTCTTGCTTACTTGCGATGTAAGCTTCTTATACCATTCTGGCTTGTTCAACTTCTTGCTAATCTTCCTCCAATCTTGATCCCACATCCATGGGTCATCTTTGAACTTGTCATTCTGCATCAGGTGCAAAGCATCATCAGCAAGCTCTTGTAAAAGCAGTTGGACTTTTTTATCCTCATTGGATATTTTTTCTTTGACATTATCTATGATATCTTTATACTGTCTAGTCACAGGCACAAACATGGAAGATATGTCTAGCATTGCAGTTAATGTGGAACCATGGGAACACCTTTCCAGAAACAAGGGCAAAAGTTTACAATACACAGAATGGGTGGCTACAACATCTAGAGCACAGTATCTAGTAAGTTCTTGGAATCTATCTGCAATATCACTAATAGACCCCTTCACAAAGACATCTCTCTCAGTCTTGTCGAGTTCTTTTCCACAATACAGATGATGCAAAGCTTTCAAACTGTTTCCGCAAGCAAGGCTAGCCCAGTCTGGCTTTTTCTCAGCATTAAGTAAGAAGTACCTTTGCAAATCAGTAATCCCACTGACGGAAATATGAGCTGCCATGGTGTCAAAGAACTTCATGCCTGATGTAGACAAGTCATAACACTCCTGAATTCTTGCACTGTCATAGCAAACATAGTGCCCAATAACCACCCGTGGTCTTGTGCCTTGATGGCCCAAGGGCACGAGGTCACTAACATAGACAGGAGCATTTACCTTACTTCTTCGCTGAATTAGAACAGGGCTCACCCATGCATACCAAGCAGTGGAGCTTACCGCAGTAGCCAGCACTGGGGCAAAACTCTCGCTAACACAGACTTCAGCATCAAAAAACAGAGCGTCTTCATTGGGAAATTCCACATGCTCAGGCTCTGAGCCCTTTCTGTAACAGATCCAGCCTGGCTGAAAGAGCCATTCATCAGGCAGAGACGGACACTCTGTTGTAACAAGAGCTTCCAAAAGTTCTCGATAAGGAGCACTTTGCCTCTCTGCTATTTCATGAACATGAGATTGAATGGAAGGTCCCACTAAGTTTGGGAGTACATAAGATTCTTTGGAGTTACTGAAATCACTGTGCTCAGTTTCCAAATCAGTAGCAGCATTATGCTTCTCCGAGTTGAAAAGATGTTGCTTCATCCATGGCGCTATAAACTTGTGATTTTCTGCGCCACTGCTGACAGGAGAAAATGTCTTCAGTCCCCTGATTCGAACTCCATTCAGTTCCAAGCCACTTGCAAACCGACAACATCGAATCCGCTGATACATTGTCTGCCAACTTCATGAACTTCACAAAGGATGGAGTTTTGATGAATCTGATCTCCTCACACAGCAGCTTGGGTCACCATGGCCTCTGCAGGAAATATCGAAAACGTTGAATAGGCTTCCCGCTCATCAGTGAAGGGAAAACAAAGCACAACAACAAAGAAATGTTCAGTCAAGAGAAGCCACTATAGGCAGATTACTACAAGTACGGTATGTATGTGCATCAAACAATGAGTAACTTAAGGGAGGAAAGGCCAAATAGCACCATATCATGTGTCTAGACAACGGACGCTATCATTTCTTTGTAGGAAAACGTTCTTAACCTCACCAAGTGCATGTTCCCAAGAAATGAATGAAAATCCTATTTGTCACCCCGAAATCACTCCACACAGCATGGCGACTACCAAGTAGAATAGCGTCCAGACTGAGTCGGCCTAGATTTTGAGGTGATTACCTTCGAAATAAGACGTTCGTCGTCGTTGCTGTTCTTTGTTTTCCCAACACGAGTTCTAACCAAGTTCTAACGGCGTGATCGTCGAGACTAACTGCAATGGCAATGTAAATCCAAAGTTATGAAAAATTGAGGATGAGAGTGAGTAGGCAACCCACCGACAAGCGTGACTAAGGGGTTGCATACCCTCACGGCGCTCAGAGCTAGAGCCTAGAGTCCTAGAGCGGACTCTACTAGAGCCTTCCTGAGCGCCTACCCATCCCGAGCCCATCCCATGGTTTTACTGTAGGTAGGGACAAAAAAAGAAAACGCACTGTTTACCAAAAATAGAATGTCTTTAATTTATTCAGTTTTGTATTGTTTACAAGGCAGTGTCAGTTCGTTGCAGCTTTGGGATACTAAAGAGTTCTGGCCATGTTTTCCTGGGTCTGTAACTTTGTTCCAACTGATTTCTCTTCTGCTTTGCTCAAATAGCGTGCAAGTAAGTGTGCCTGAAATAATAAAATATTTCCCCCTCCTTCCGGTTTCATCATGGAATTCTCTTCAAAAAAATTAATAGATTTTTTTGTTTTAAAAAAATTAGTTACACAAACTTCTACAAAGTCACAAAAGCTTGTATTCCCCACTTTTTCTTACAAATGTAGCAAAATGCAATCTCAAGGCAGACTGTAGGAGTGGATCCTATTCAGTGCTGAGGATGCATTGCTCGAGCAGATCACAAATGAGTATGGAGCAGCTGTGACTGCGACTTTGCAGTTTGTGTATTTATTCTTCATGAATCAACTAAGATAAAGATCCTACAGTTTCTAAATTTGGAATAATACTTTACGTAAACTACAATCTCTTTAAAAATTTGAAATGGATAATAGAAGGTAAAGAGGGAGACAGACAGTGAGCAACAAAAATAATAATCTGTGATGCGTGCAAAATGAAACAAAAAAAAAAGTTGTTGAATAGAATATTTTTATTAATGAAAACAAACTACATGGGGGCATTGTGGGGGCATAGCAAAAACAAAAATGAAAGTTACAAAGGCATAAGCAAATGAAATGCATAAATTAAAACAACCTAAACAGAAACAATAAAGAAGTGAAATGAAAATACGAGAGAAAATAAAAAAAAATTGAGTATGAAAATAAATATTATGCATGATAACAAAATAAACTTTGAAAAATGATAGCAGTTATCACTGTCAAAATAGTTCAAAGTGGCATTACTTGTCCAAAAATACTTTCATGAGAACTACTGTACAACTCATAAAAATAGTGCACTCTTTCATAAGGTATATTTGAAGAAAGAAAGTTCTCTTTAAATCACAGAAAAGTGATTTTGAAAATAAATAAAAATAGCACCATGTTAAAGAGGGAATGTATCTTGAGCTGCCTGGTAGAAAAAGTTGGGTAACTGACTTGATGACTCTGGGCATCCAATATGGCACTTGCTACTTGATGCTTATGTTGTCACTTCCCTAAAGGGACTATAAATTTCAACTTTTGTATCACAGATCAATTCGGGCTCATCTTGAAAAGTCACATCTAGTTTCTGAATTAAAATGTTACAAAAGTATGAAAAGTACCTAGAAAATTACAAGCCTTTATATCACATTCACCATTTTTCGCATTCTTAAAATACCAAAAGCAGTCAAAAAATTGCAGCATGCAAAAGTCCATGCATATTGGTCACATTGTGACCTCGTCCTGTTTGCTGATGTGGATGCAAAATACAGTGCAAGTAAAACTAAAAGCTCTACTTCTGCATTTTAACACCTTCAGAACACCATGTTAGTTTCTAATAAATAATTGCAGTGTTCTGAGAACAGCCTGGCACAGATCCAAAAATTCTCCAGAGAATATTTTATACACATAGGATACATGAAGTATTTTTTCATGATCCAGGGCAAGTATAAAAGTGAGGCTCCAAACTTACTCATAAAACTAAGCAAAAGTAAAAAGTTTTCAAAATACTTCTAAGCCCTGATGAGTGTCGTTTACGCGAATTGCAGAAACGCCACACTCGTCAGTTAAATGGAATAACAACTCCACAAGTCTAACAACTAATTTACAAACATTTCTGGAAGCACGTTGGCACTTTTTTTAAAAACTCAGTCACAAGTGAAACGTGAGCAGTCGGTTGCAAACCATCGCAGCAAAAGTCTGCAAGACAGTAGTTCCGAGTGAGAGAGATGCAACGCCTCTCGGGAACAACCCTCCAGAAGCGAGACGTGGGCCTCATCCTGCCCTCAGGAGCACGGTGATGCGGCACAGTGCGTCCTGGCGGAGGGCGCCGGGGTCACGCCAGGGAGAGGCAGGCGCCGCGGACGGCCGGGACGGCCGGGGTCAGTTGGACACGGTGGGCAGGAAGAAGCGGTGCGCCTTGGTGTCGCGGGTGTGCCTGAAGGGGGCGGGGTCGGCGGCGGCGGCCAGGCGCGCCGCGGGGCAGGGGCCCACCACGCGGGGCTCGTACTCCGCCTTGTACAGCGAGGTGACGCGCGTGCTGCTGCTGGTGGTGCTGCTGTCCGCCAGGATGGTGGAGATGCTGGAGGCGTTGGCCCTCCGCGTGCCGAAGGAGCGCTGGTTGAGCTGCGCCGACGACACCCCCGCCACTGCCAGCGGCAGCGAGGGGCTGCCGTACGACCGGCTCTCGATCTGTTGTTGGCCCTGCGTCAAGTCAAATTAGCCACCAACTTCTTAAAAAAGATATCTCGAAAAGCAATTGAGACAAGTACTTACAATGATGCTTCCGCCAATGCGAATCTGGTCCTGCTGCATGCTCGACGACCACGAGCGGCGTTGGTGGGTCTGCTGGCTCTGCTGCTGACTCTGCTGCTGCGACTGCACCACCTGCTGCCGCATCTGCTGCTCCTGGCGCAGCTGTAGCTGCTGCTGCTGGTGAAGCTCCTGCCGCATCTGCTGGGACTGCTGGTGGTGCTCCTGCCTTGACTGCTGGTGGTGTTCCTGCCGGGACTGCTGGTAGTGTTCCTGCCTTGACTGCTGATGGTGTTCCTGCCTTGACTGCTGATGGTGTTCCTGGCGGAACTGCTGGTGTTCCTGCCGGGACTGCAGGTGGTGTTCCTGTCTTGACTGCTGGTGGTGTTCCTGCCGGGACTGCTGGTGCTGGTGCTGCTCCTGCTGCTGGCGGTGGAGTGCGCTCAGGCTGCGCCTGTCCTGGCTCTGGCTGGAGCCGCTGATGTACTGGCCGCTCTGGTCCAGGCTGCAGATGCTCTTGCGCTGGGCCGAGGCCGCGGTGGAGCTGGTGTGCAGGGCCTCGGTGGACGTGGTGGCCCCCTTGCGGTGCAGCACCTGGTTGGTCACGGCCTCGGCGGTGATGACGTTGCGACGCTGATGGCCGGCGGGCGAGCCGGGGCTCTCCTGGAAGGCCTCGCCGCTCAGGGCCTGCTTGAACTCGCTGCTGACGGCGTGCGTCCGCTGGCGCTGCTCCTGCTGCCTGCTGGAGGACGTCGAGGACGTCTCCATGGTGGCCTTGGACTCGTGCTGCTGCGAGGCGGTCTTCACCTCGCCCGCGGTGCGCGTCTCGTGCTCCGTGCGCGTCACCGTCACCTTCGTGCCGTCCGCCAGCACCTTGGTGTCCGTCGACGTGCGGCTGGTCGTCTTGGAGGTCGAGTCCTTGTGCGCCTTGGAGGCTCTCGAGGCCTTGGTCTCCATGGCGACGGTCTCTTGGCCCAGCGAGATCTGCGAGTCCATGTGGCGGCGGGCGACCTGCGTCTTGGACGGTGACTCCACCCTCTGGACGAAGGTCTCCTTGCTGGTGGTCTGCGACTCCATCTTGCCGCCGTTCATCTTGAGCTGGTCCTCGTGCCTGCGCACCTCGGCGCGCTCGCCCTTGGTGGCCTTGAACTCGGACTTGAGCGTCGTCTCCGCCTGGAAGGTGCCGCCCAGCTTGAGGTTGTCCTCGGGCCTACGCACGGTGGCGCGCTCGCCCTTGGTGGGGATCACCTCGGTGTGCCTGCTCTCGAACTTGCCCTCCATCTTGAGGTTGTCCTGGCGGCGGACCACCTCGGCGCGCTCGCCGGGCCCCACCACCTCCACCTTCCGCTTGGCGAAGTCGCCCTCCATCTTGAGGTTGTCGGGGTGCTTGACGATGGGGGCGCGGCCGCCGGGGCCAACGGGGGACTTCTGCGGACGCTCGAAGTCGCCCTCCATCTTGAGGTTGTCGGGGTGTTTGACGATGGGGGCGCGGCCACCGGGACCAACGGGGGACTTCGGTGGACGGTCAAAATCACCCTCCAGTTTTAAGTTGTCAGGGCGCTTGATGATTTGAGCTCGGTCCGGCTGGCCTGGTTTGTCCTTGCTGGGCCTGTCGAAGCCGCCCTCCAGCTTCAGGTTGTCGGGGTGCTTCACTATGGGGGCGCGGCCACCGGGCCCGACTGGCGATTTCTCCGGCCGGTCGAAACCTCCCTCGAGCTTCAGGTTGTCGGGGTGCTTGACGATGGGTGCGCGGCCGCCGGGGCCGACCGGGGACTTCTTGGGTCGGTCGAAGTCGCCCTCCAGCTTCAAGTTGTCGGGCCGTTTGACCACCTTGGCGCGGTCGGGCGTGCCAGGAGCTTGCTTTTGTGGCCGGTCGAAGTCGCCCTCGAGCTTCAGGTTGTCGGGGTGCTTCACAATCGGGGCCCTGCCGCCGGGTCCGACGTTCTCCTTGCCGGGCCGGTCGAAGTCGCCCTCGAGCTTCAGGTTGTCGGGGTGCTTCACGATGGGGGCGCGGCCCCCCGGCCCAACCGGCGACTTCTCGGGGCGGTCGAAGTCTCCCTCGAGCTTCAGGTTGTCGGGGTGCTTGATGATGTTGGCGCGCTCGCCCGGCTGCGGCTTCTCCTTGAGGGGCCGCTCGAAGTCGCCCTCTTGCTTCAGGTTGTCGGGGTGCTTCACGATCGGCGCTCGCTCGCCCTTTTTGATCTCGTCTCTCTCTCGCTGGGCGAAGTCTCCCTCCATCTTCAGGTTGTCGGGGTGCTTCACGATGGGAGCTCGGCCTCCCGGCCCGACCGGCGCCTTCTCGGGCCGCTCGAAGTCTCCCTCCAGCTTGAGGTTGTCGTTGTGCCTGACGATGGTGGCCCGCTCCCCCCTCTTCACCTCCTCGCGCTCGCGCTGCACGAATTCGCCCTCCATGCGCAGGTTGTCCTCGTGGCGGCGGATCTCGGAGCGCTCGCCCTTGACGGCCACGAAGTCGTCCCTGCGCTGCATGTTCCACTCGCCCTCCATGCGCAGGTTGTCCTCGTGGCGCACCACCTCCACGCGCTCGGCCGTGGCGTGCCGGTACTCGTCGCTGGAACGCGTGGCGGTGAACTCAGCCTGCTCCACGCGGAGGTTGTCCTCGTGGCGCACCGCCTTGGTGCGCTCCGTGGTGACGGCCTGGTAGTCGTCGCGGGACCGGTGGTCCACGAAGTCGCCCTCCACGCGCAGGTTGTCGTCGTGGCGGACGATCGTGGTTCTCTCTGCGGGCTGCACGGGCACCAGCTCACGCTTCGTGAAGTCGCCCTCCATCTTGAGGTTGTCGGGGTGCTTCACGATGGCAGCGCGTTCTCCTGGGCGCACGGGGGACTTCTCTCGCTTGGTGAACTCACCGTCTTCAGGCTTGAGGTTGTCGGGCCGGCGGACGATAGGGGCTCTTTCTCCGGGCTTCACTGGTGTCCTCTCGCGCTGCGCGAAGTCACCCTCCATCTTCAAGTTGTCGGGGTGCTTCACGATGGGTGCGCGGCCTCCTGGACCCACGGGGACCTTCTCGGGGCGGTCGAAGTCACCCTCCATCTTGAGGTTGTCGGGGTGCTTAATGATGGGTGCGCGCTCACCGGGCTGAACCGGCTGCAGTTCTCTCTGGGGGAAGTCGCCCTCCATCTTCAGGTTGTCGGGGTGCTTGATGATGGGTGCACGCTCACCGGGCTGAACCGGCTGCAGTTCCCTTTGAGGGAAATCACCCTCCATCTTGAGGTTGTCGGGGTGCTTGACAATGGGCGCACGACCTCCGGGCCCAACCGGGGACTTTTCGGGGCGGTCGAAGTCGCCTTCCAGCTTGAGGTTGTCGGGATGCTTAACAATGGGCGCCCGGCCTCCGGGACCGACGGGGACCTTCTCGGGGCGGTCGAAGTCACCCTCCATCTTGAGGTTGTCGGGGTGCTTGATGATGGGTGCGCGCTCGCCGGGCTGAACTGGCTGCAGTTCTCTCTGAGGGAAATCACCCTCCATCTTCAGGTTGTCGGGGTGCTTGATGATGGGTGCGCGCTCGCCGGGCTGAACTGGCTGCAGTTCTCTCTGCGGGAAGTCGCCCTCCATCTTCAGGTTGTCGGGGTGCTTGACGATGGGCGCACGCTCACCCGGCCGGACCTGCTCCGGCTCCGGACGCACGAAGTCGCCCTCCTGCTTGAGGTTGTCCTTGGGCTTGACGGGCTGCGGCCTCTCTCCGGGCCTTACCGGGGTCCTCTCCCTCTGGGGGAAGTCCCCTTCCATCTTGAGGTTGTCGGGGTGCTTGATGATGGGCGCGCGTTCGCCCTTTTTGATCTCTTCGCGCTCGCGCTGCGCGAAGTCGCCCTCCTGCTTTAGGTTGTCCGGGTGGCGCACGATGGGGGCGCGTTCCCCGGGCCTCACGGGGGTCTTCTCCCGCTGCGCGAAGTCGCCCTCCATCTTGAGGTTGTCGGGGTGCTTCACCATGGGGGCGCGCTCCCCCGGCCTTACTGGTGTCAGTTCCCTCTGAGGGAAGTCGCCCTCCATCTTGAGGTTGTCGGGGTGCTTGATGATGGGTGCACGCTCCCCCTTCTTGATCTCCTCCCGCTCCCGCTGCGCGAAGTCTCCCTCCTGCTTCAGGTTGTCCGGATGGCGGACGATCGGCGCGCGCTCCCCCTGCTTCACCGGCTGCAGCTCCCTCTGCGGGAAGTCCCCCTCCATCTTGAGGTTGTCGGGGTGCTTCACGATGGGCGCGCGCTCGCCGGGCCGCACCTCTTGTGGCTGCGGCCGCTCGAAGTCGCCCTCGGGCTTAAGGTTGTCCTTGGGCTTTACTGGCTTGGGCCGCTCGCCAGGGGTCACCGCCTGCGGTTTCGGGCGTTCGAAGTCAACTTCCTGCTTCAGGTTGTCCTGCGGCTTGATGGGCGACCGCATTTCGGCAGGGACCACCGTGTGCACCTCCCGCTGCGTGAACTCGCCCTCCTGGCGGAGGTTGTCCTCGTGCCGGACCTGCGTCACCCTCTCGGCCCGCTGGTAGCGGTAGTCGTCGCTGGAGCGCGAGTCGTAGAACTCGGCCTGCTCCACGCGGAGGTTGTCCTCGTGGCGGACGGTCTGCCGCCGCTCCGCCTGCACGGCCTGGTAGTCGTCGCGCGACCGGTACTCGGTGAACTCGCCCTCGGTCTTCAGGTTGTCCTCTCGGATGGTGACTTCGCGGCGCTCGGCCTGTTCACCAGTGAAGTCATCGCGGGTGCGCGTCACCGTGAACTCTCCGCCAGTCTTGAGGTTGTCCTCATGTTTCACCACGGCCACCCTTTCACCACGCTGGACAGTGACCACCTCCCGCTGTGCAAAGTCCCCTTCCATCTTCAAGTTGTCCGCGTGCCTCACCATAGGTGCTCGTTCACCGGGACGCACTGGCTCGAGTTCTCTCTGGGTGAAATCGCCCTCCATCTTCAGGTTGTCGGGGTGCTTCACCATGGGCGCTCTTTCTCCGGGACGCACTGGCTGCAACTCTCTCTGCGGGAAGTCGCCTTCCATTTTGAGGTTGTCTGGGTGTTTGACGATTGGAGCGCGCTCGCCTGGTTTCACTGGAGTCCTTTCGCGTTGTGGGAAGTCTCCCTCCATTTTCAGATTATCTGGGTGTTTCACCATGGGAGCTCTTTCTCCCGGCCGTACCGGCTGTAGCTCTCTCTGCGTGAATTCACCCTCCATCTTTAGGTTGTCAGGATGCTTCACCATGGGTGCCCTTTCACCGGGACGGACAGGCTGCAACTCTCTCTGTGGGAAATCGCCCTCCATTTTCAAGTTGTCGGGGTGCTTCACAATAGGTGCTCTCTCGCCAGGTTTGACGGGCGTCCTCTCGCGTTGAGGGAAATCGCCTTCCATTTTCAGATTATCAGGGTGCTTCACCATGGGTGCTCTTTCACCAGGTCGTACAGGCTGCAACTCGCGCTGGGAGAAGTCTCCTTCCATCTTGAGGTTGTCGGGATGTTTTACGATCGGGGCTCGTTCTCCTGGTTTTACTGGCGTTCTTTCGCGTTGTGGGAAGTCGCCTTCCATCTTAAGGTTGTCCGGGTGTTTCACCATGGGGGCGCGTTCACCAGGGCGGACTGGCTCATAGTGACGCTGTGGGAAATCTCCTTCCATCTTGAGGTTGTCGGGGTGTTTCACCATGGGGGCGCGTTCACCAGGCCGTACAGGCTGCAGCTCTCGCTGAGGGAAATCTCCCTCCATCTTGAGGTTGTCGGGATGTTTCACGATTGGAGCGCGTTCGCCCGGCCTGACTGGAGTCCTTTCGCGTTGTGGGAAGTCTCCCTCCATTTTCAGGTTGTCGGGATGTCTCACCATGGGTGCCCTCTCGCCAGGACCCACCGGTTGCAGTTCTCGCTGAGGGAAGTCGCCTTCCATCTTCAAATTATCTGGATGTCTCACAATCGGAGCTCGCTCACCTGGACGAACAGGTTCACGTTCGCGCTGTGGGAAATCTCCCTCCATCTTGAGGTTGTCGGGGTGCTTCACCATGGGCGCTCTCTCACCAGGTTTAACTGGTGTTATTTCGCGTTGGGTGAAGTCGCCCTCCATCTTAAGGTTGTCTGGGTGCTTCACCATTGGTGCGCGTTCCCCAGGTCGCACTGGGGTGCGTTCTCGCTGAGGGAAGTCCCCTTCCATCTTCAAGTTGTCGGGGTGTTTTACGATTGGTGCACGTTCACCAGGGCGGACAGGCTCTCGCTCCCGCTGTGGGAAGTCTCCCTCCATTTTTAGATTGTCAGGGTGCTTCACCATGGGGGCGCGTTCACCAGGGCGAACAGGCTGCAGCTCACGCTGTGGGAAGTCTCCCTCCATCTTGAGGTTGTCAGGATGTTTCACAATCGGAGCTCTCTCACCTGGCCTCACCGGCGTCCGTTCACGCTGCGGGAAGTCGCCCTCCATTTTCAAATTGTCCGGATGCTTCACCATGGGTGCCCTTTCACCAGGGCGAACGGGTTGGTACTCCCGCTGTGGAAAGTCTCCCTCCATTTTCAGATTGTCGGGGTGTTTTACCATGGGGGCTCGTTCACCAGGCCTCACGGGGGTTCTTTCCCTCTGCGGGAAATCGCCTTCCATTTTCAAATTATCTGGGTGCTTAACAATTGGGGCTCGCTCACCCGGCCGAACTGGAGTCCTCTCACGTTGCGGAAAATCGCCTTCCATTTTCAAGTTGTCGGGATGTTTCACCATGGGTGCTCTTTCACCAGGGCGCACTGGTTGGTACTCCCGCTGTGGAAAATCGCCTTCCATTTTCAAGTTGTCGGGATGTTTCACCATGGGCGCTCTTTCACCAGGGCGCACTGGTTGGTACTCCCGCTGTGGGAAATCGCCTTCCATTTTCAAATTATCCGGATGTTTCACCATGGGCGCTCTTTCACCAGGGCGCACTGGTTGGTATTCCCGCTGTGGGAAGTCCCCTTCCATTTTTAAGTTGTCGGGATGTTTGACGATAGGCGCTCTCTCTCCAGGCCGCACTGGTTCTCGGTGTCTCTGCGGGAAGTCTCCCTCCATCCGCAGGTTGTCGGGATGTTTCACCACGGGCGCTCGTTCACCAGGCCGCACTTGTTCGGGAGTCGGACGGACGAAGTCGCCCTCCTGCTTCAGGTTGTCCTGCGGCCTGATAGGTGCCCGCATTTCACCACGCTTCACGGTTTGCACCTCCCGCTGCGTGAACTCGCCCTCCTGGCGGAGGTTGTCCTCGTGCCGGACCTGCGTCACCCTCTCGGCCCGCTGGTAGCGGTAGTCGTCGCTGGAGCGCGAGTCGTAGAACTCGGCCTGCTCCACGCGGAGGTTGTCCTCGTGGCGGACGGTCTGCCGCCGCTCCGCCTGCACGGCCTGGTAGTCGTCGCGCGACCGGTACTCGGAGAACTCGCCCTCGGTCTTCAGGTTGTCCGTGTGTCTGATGATCGGGGCGCGTTCACCAGGACGCACTGGCTGCAATTCGCGCTGAGGGAAGTCTCCCTCCATTTTCAGGTTGTCTGGATGTTTCACCATGGGTGCTCTCTCTCCGGGCCGAACGGGTTGCAGCTCTCTCTGTGGGAAGTCACCCTCCATTTTCAAGTTGTCTGGATGTCTGACGATTGGAGCTCGCTCGCCTGGTCTCACTGGGGTCCTTTCGCGCTGTGGAAAATCTCCCTCCATTTTCAAGTTGTCGGGATGTTTCACCATGGGTGCTCTTTCACCAGGACGCACTGGTTGGTACTCCCGCTGTGGGAAATCTCCTTCCATTTTCAAGTTATCTGGGTGTTTCACCATGGGCGCTCTTTCACCAGGGCGCACTGGTTGGTACTCCCGCTGTGGGAAATCACCTTCCATTTTCAAGTTATCTGGATGTTTCACCATAGGCGCTCTTTCACCTGGGCGCACTGGTTGGTACTCCCGCTGTGGGAAATCGCCTTCCATTTTCAAGTTGTCGGGGTGTTTGACGATCGGAGCTCTCTCGCCGGGCCTTACGGGTGTCCGTTCACGCTGTGGAAAATCACCCTCCATTTTCAAATTGTCCGGGTGTTTCACCATGGGAGCTCGTTCACCAGGCCTTACTGGCGTTCTTTCCCTCTGCGGGAAATCGCCTTCCATTTTCAGGTTATCCGGGTGCTTCACCATGGGCGCTCTTTCACCAGGGCGCACTGGTTGGTACTCCCGCTGGGGGAAATCGCCTTCCATTTTCAAGTTGTCAGGGTGCTTTACAATAGGTGCTCTCTCACCTGGCTTCACCGGCGTCCGTTCGCGCTGAGGAAAATCACCCTCCATTTTCAAGTTGTCAGGGTGTTTCACCATGGGAGCGCGTTCACCAGGCCTAACCGGCGTTCTCTCTCGCTGCGGGAAATCACCCTCGAGCTTCAAGTTGTCCGGGTGCTTGACGATGGGGGCTCTCTCACCCGGGCGGACGGGTTCTCTCTCTCGCTGCGGGAAGTCCCCCTCCAGCCTCAGGTTGTCGGGGTGCTTCACGATGGGGGCCCTGTCCCCGGGGCCGTAGGGCTGCTGGGAGGGCCGCTCGAAGTCGCCCTCTTGGCGCAGGTTGTCCTGGGGCCTGATGGGCTTGGGCCGCTCCCCCGGGGACACCCTCTCCCGCTGCGGACGCACGAAGTCCCCCTCGGGCTTGAGGTTGTCCTTGGGCCTCTTGACCTCGGCGCGGTCGCCCTTGACGGGGCTGAAGTCCCTGCGCGGCCGCTTCTCGAACTCGCCCTCGGGCTTGAGGTTGTCCTTGGGCCTCTGCACATCGAAGCGTTCGCCCTTGACGACCTTGTAGTCGTCCCTGGAGCGCGCCACCGTCATCTCGCCCTCCATGCGCAGGTTGTCGTGCTGCCGCTTCTGCGCCTGGCGCGCGTCGAGCGCGTCCACCGTGGTGGTGGCGCGGTACTCCTCCGAGCTGGTGGTCTCGAAGTGGCGCTCGCCGTCCTGCTTGGTCCATGTGCGCCGCCGCTTGGGGGTCTCCTTCTCGGCCGTCTTGTGCGTGAACTCGGTGCGCGACGACGACTCGAACGTCATGCTGCCCTCGGTGGTGAGGTTGTCGCGGCGCCGCTTCACCTCGGTGCGCGTCGTGCTCTGCTGCCCCGTGAAGGCCTCCGCGCTGCTCGTGGACGTCGTGAACTCCCCCACCGCGGCCACCAGGTTGTCGGCGCGCCGCGTCGGCTTCTCCGGCTTGACGGCCCACCGCTCGGGGAAGTCCTCTCTGCTCTGCGTCACGCCCTGCGGGGAGAGGAGTGTGAGTGAGGCCAAAACTCTAGACGCGTTTTGAGCTCCAAAGTCGCTAAACAGGACTCGAGCCGAACGTGTGACCCCACCAATGGATTCCTCGTTCGGAGAGCAATCCATTGGTGGGGTGACCCGTAAGGCCCCAGACTTACGTGGAACGCTCCGCCGACGGTGAGGTTGTCCTGGCGGCGCTGCACCGACTCGGTCCTCGTCACCTGCTCGAAGCCCTTGAACTCGGACCGGCTGGTGGTCTCCGTCGTCAAGTCCCCCTCCAGCTTGGTCCACGTGTTGCGGCGGATCAGCCTGGGCCGCTCCGACATCTCCCCGGTGAACTCCAGCTGCTGGGTGGTGATGCCTACGCACGTTTCAAGGTTAGAAGGTGGAGGCCGAACACGGGCAGACCAACCTTCATCAACTCCGTTGCGTTCCTCACCGTGGAAGTCCCCGCCGGTGATGAGATGGTCCTCGTGGCGCCGCACCTCGGCGCGCTCGCCCCGCATGGTGGAGAAGTCCGTGACGACGGTCCTCTCACCGGTGAAGTCGCCCTCCATGCGCAGGTTGTCGCTGGGCCTGACGGCCTTGGGCCGCTCCCCGGGCTGCACCGGCGTGCGGTCCCGCTGCGCGAAGTCGCCCTCGAGCTTCAGGTTGTCGGGGTGCTTCACGATGGGCATGCGCTCGCCGGTCCGCACGGGGGACAGTTCGCGCTTCGCGAAGTCGCCTTCCTGGCGAAGGTTGTCCGGGCGTTTGACGATCGGCGCCCGCTCGCCGGGGCCGACGGGGGTGCGCTCTCGCTGCGCGAAGTCTCCCTCCATTTTCAGGTTGTCGGGCCTCTTCACGATGGGCGCGCGCTCGCCTGGGCCGACAGGGGTCCTCTCCCGCTGCGCGAAGTCTCCTTCGAGCTTCAGGTTGTCGGGGTGCTTCACGACGGGCATGCGCTCGCCTGTCCGGACGGGCGAGAGCTCGCGCTTCGCGAAGTCGCCCTCCTGCTTGAGGTTGTCGGGCCGCCTTACAATGGGCGCCCGCTCGCCCGGCCCGACAGGCGTTCTCTCCCGCTGCGCGAAGTCACCCTCGAGCTTCAGGTTGTCGGGGTGCTTCACGACGGGCATGCGCTCCCCGGGTCGAACGGGCGACAGCTCGCGCTTCGCGAAGTCGCCTTCCTGGCGGAGGTTGTCCTGAGGCTTCTTGACGGGAGCGCGCTCGCCCTTCGTGGCCCAGTCGTTCCTGCGCTCGCCGGTGAAGTCGCCCTCCAGGTACAGGTGGTCCTCATGGTGGAACCTGCACACGGCCCAGTTAGTCAACAGTACCGGCGGCGTGAACCTGACTCTGAATAGAGTGGACTGACCTGGTCTGCCTCTCGGCCTTCTTCTCGTCGTAGTCCTGGCGGTAGGCGGTCTCGCTGTGGACCACGCCGTCAGGGAGCGTGAGCTGCGTGTGCGCGCGCTGCAGCCGGGGCCGCTCCACCTGGTGCAGGTCCCAGGCGTGGTACGCCTCCCGGGCGTGGGTCACGCTCTCGAACGTGGCGTCGCTGGGCTTGAGCGGGCTGTCCTCCTGGCCGGCCGTGTGCGGGCAGCGGTGGCGCCTGGAGAAGGACAAGCAGAGCGTCAGCGTGACCTATCCCACGGCACAGTGGGGGTGGACAAAATCCTAGACGCGTTTTGAGCTCCAGAGTCGCTAAACAGGACTCGAACCGAACGTGTGACCCCACCAATGGATTCCTCGTTCGAAGAGCAATCCATTGGTGGGGTCACACGTTCAGTTCGACGCCCATTTAGCGACTCTGGAGCTCAAAACGCGTCTTGAGTTTTGGCCGCCTCCACCGGTCTTCTGGCCCACTGTGCACTGGAAGTGTGTGCCGCCACTGTCAATAGGGAAGCAGATTATCACGGTGATTCCAAACAACGCGGCTAATGCGTTCGACGGCCGGGCACACCAAACACGATCAATGCCAAAGGGCCGCGCGGACTTCGACCTCCAACAAAAAAAAACTCCCCTTCTGTGATTCGAACCCGCCACCTCGGACTCAATAATGCACGCGTCTACCCCCTCGGCCACGCAAACACGCACGTGATCACTTCTTGATCGTCCCGCCCGGGGGAAGGACGTTGCGAAAGACGACTGCCTGGGCGGTGGCGTGTAGGACGTGGTCAGGGACGGTCGGCGGAAACGGTAAAAAAGAACGACTGAAAGGGATGTAGTTCACGAAAGGACGAGCCGATTTTCGTTGCTAAGTCCCGCCGCCTCCCCACAGTGCGGTGGCGGGGTGGCGGGCCCTAACGGCTGTAGTTGCTGTGTTTCGCCGCCAACGGCCGCCAATAGCATGCATGGCAAATTAAATGCACGTCCCCGCTTTCAGGAGCCATTCACCCCCGGCCGTCATTACCAGAGGGAGGGGAGGGGGAGGGGGAGGGGAGGGGGTTCCCAACTACCCCATCACGCGGCTCGGTCGGTCGGTCCCGCGAGACCGCGAGGTGTGAATAACAACAGCCAAGCGAAACTAAGTTGCAACTCGAATGAGTAGTCGGGTGCCGAAATGACGAATCGGCGCCAAGCGGCGCAAAGCGCGAACACACCGCAGTCAACAACTCGACGGCGCGCTTCGGTTCGCGGTTCGTATCGAGGCTCGCCATCGCCGACGTGGTGGATCGCGCCACCGCTGTAAACGCCAACTTCGCCCGTCGGAGGGACGCGTCCCGCGTTAGTTTCAGCGACTGGATTCGGCCTGGGAGAGGAACAAGGACGGCTGCAGGGCCGCCGGGTGAGAGAGAGAGAGAGAGAGAGAGAGAGAGAGAGAGAGAGAGAGAGAGAGAGAGAGAGAGAGAGAGGGAGAGAGAGAGAGCGCGCACACACCACTGCGCCAACGGCCCAACGGGCAAGTAGGCCGAAGTCGCCCACGATAAGCAATGCAGTGACTCTGCGGCGCAGGGCGGGGGTGCACCGAAGCGACCCACTTAGGAAGACACACACACAGAGAGAGAGAGAGAGAGAGAGAGAGAGAGAGAGAGAGAGAGAGAGAGAGAGAGCTCCCGTATTATGAATGAGGGTGGCCCGGCTTCGGCCTGCCTGCCTCCCTCCTTCCATTTGAGACACGGCATACCGACTCCCCCACACCGTCAGGGAAACGTTTCGCCCCTTAATCACGGCTCGCAGTGTAGACGCGCACCACTTTCGCCAGCCGGCAGCCCGATCGCCGCCGTAACTCTATAACGGGCCTACCCCAAGGTCGGCCTCCGGGCCCAGACCGGCCCTTGCTTATTTATTCGGCCTATCTAGATACCAGTGGGGTGGTTTCGGACTAGAGCGGACTGGTGCCGCACCCCTCGTGAAGGACTGCGCGGGGAAGGCCCACCCAAAAATAATGAATCTAGAAGTTACGATAGTCCGCCAAAAAATGTGACTCGGAAAAAGAAAAGGCCGGGAATAGGAGGTGAAAAAGTGATCCAACCTCGCCTATCCAGTGGGAGTGAGCGCCTGCGAGGTAGGCAACCCCAACGCAGCGCTGCGCTCCACCCTCCGTGTGGCCTACCCTGAAGGGGCTCTCGGGGCGCCTGCGCGGTAGGCAACCCCAATGCAGCGCCGCGCCGAACGCACAGTGTTGCCTACCCCGCAGGCGCTCCGCAGCGCCACTGTCTCACCGGAGCACCGTGACGCTGGTGACGCGCTCCTCGACGCGCGGCGAGGAGGACCCCGAGCTGGCCACCGAGGCCGCGGAGCTGGCCGGCGACGCGTCGTCGTCGTCGTCCTCCTCGAACACCGTGGCCGGCATCCTGGCGGCCAGGCTGACGGGGATGGTGACGCGGTACACCGCGGTCGCCGCCATGCCGTCTACGCCTTGAAGGCCACGGCGGCCACGGCGGCCACCCTGGCCGCGGACACGTTCTCGCCGGCCTTCTTGCGGTGCAGCAGCTTGCCGACGACGCGGGCCGCGCGGTGCAGGCAGCGCCACCAGCCCATGGCGCCTATGGCACTGGGAACGTCCAGCCGGCCGGGCCGCGGTTGCCGCCACTGGCGCAGGCCACGGCGCGGCCCCACGCTGCCCCCGCCGGCACGCCGCCCCCACCCCCGCGGAGGGGCAGGGAAGGTCACCGACACGGGGGAGGGGGGGGGGCTACCCTCGCGCCCCTGCGGCCCTACAGCCCCTGCCCCGGTAGCGATAGCGGGACAGAGGCTGAGTGAGGAATCGATGCAGTCGGACCGACTCGGACACCAGCCCACGTGTCGACACCGTCGTCGTGGCCAGCAAGGAGTGCTCGGGGAACAGACGCAGGCAGGGGCTCGAGGGGCCGTGGAAAGGAAAATCAAGGCCAGGGAAAGAGTGGGTGGGGAGCCGACGTGGATTTGTTGACCAGCAGCAGGCCTGGCCCGAGGCAGAACGCTCGGCGGCAACCATGTTGACCGGAAAGGCAAAGTTTGCAGTGACAACAGACGGTCCTGAAAGGTGGGAGAGAGAGGGAGAGAGAGGTGAAGGCCACGACACCGCCTCCTTCCAGGCGCAGTCAATTTGCAAGTGTTTCCCACTCCAAGTTTCGGGTACTCGTTCATAAATGTCACTTAGAACACGCCGATGAACAAAAATGTAAAAAATAGAAAACGCCGGCCGGATTTGAACCCGCGACCTTTGTGTCAAGAGACAGGCCGCACGTGCAGGGCACGCGGTCCTGCAAAGGGTTGGCGCGACGCGCGCCGAGTTCAGAAATAATCATGCCGCCGCGCCGCGCCACGCCGCCGGGCAGAACTAGCGCACGGCGGCGGAGGGGTCTGGGGTCTTGGCCGCCTTGGCGCACAGGTGAGCCTCCTCGGGCCGCGGCGCACAGTGGCCCAGCAGGGACAGCATGGCGGGGCAGTCACTCTTTATTTCGACCGGCAGTGGCAGGGCAGCCCGCAACGGCCGACACCTGCCAATAGCCCACCGCAGTGCTGCCACGTAACGCAAAGCTCGATGCACCAGTGTCGGAAGGGTTGCCAACCTCAGCCTGCCGACTGGGCAATATGTAGGCTTTGCACAGTGGGCAAAGACGACCGGTGGAGGGGGCCAAAACTTCAGACGCGTTTTGAGCAACAGAGTTGCTAAATGGGACTCGAACCGAACGTGTGACCCCACCAATGGATTGCTCTCCGAACGAGCAATCCATTGGTGGGGTCACACGTTCGGGTCCCATTTAGCGACTCTGGAGATCAAAACGCGTCTAGAGTTTTGGCCGCCTCCACCGGTCTTCTGGCCCACTGTGCGCGGGAAGCGGGACCCTGTATGGGATCACAGAACTCGAACTTCGATTAGTCCCATCGCTACCGAGGCTGCGGTTGTTCGCTCGGTGCTCCGTCTAATGATCCGGCCGGAAGTCAAACGGAGGGTGGCGAGGGGGGATGACGGAGGAGGGGGAGGGGAACCTGCAAATAGTAGCGGCTTGGCTTCGGCTCGGTCCTGCAGGTCCATTCGCGAAGCAGCGCGGCGCTCGGCCCGCTTCTCGGCAGTACCGCAGCGGGGCGATCGAATTCCCTACTTGGCCCTCCCCCCCCCCCCTCCCTAAGGTCCCCAGGGGGCCAACAGAAGCAACACGGTGCAGCAAAGCGAGCAAAGCAGCAAACGAGAGCCGTGTTCTTTCACGAGACCAAGGTCGCGTTGCCGCGGGGAGTCGCAGCATCGATTGCTGAAGGGGTGAGGGGTGGAGCTGGTGCACTTCATTTAAAAAAAAAACAATACAAAAATTATGATTTTTAACAGCTTTGGCATGCGAAATACGGGATCACCCGGGAAATCGGGCCGCACTGGTCGCCCAAAGTCGGCCAGAAACGCCATTTTCACCGGAGAAAACAAAAAAAGGAACGGGCCGGCAGGTTTGTCACCAAATTCCCGCTTTGACCCCGATTTTCGGCGACTGCATCGTGCTGGGACCTGGGACGGCTCGGGGCGGCGCTCCAGGACGGCGCTCCAGGACGCTGCCTGGAGTCTGGAGCGAGTCCCGCCCAGTGTGTGAGCGCGATAGCTGCCTCGCTTGCTTCGCCTGCCGCCTCCATACTTGGCGCGGCCGCCGTCCGCGCGTCCCATTGGTGGAAGACGAGTCCCCCTCCCCCTCCCCCTCCGACTGACGGGGACCTCGGCCGATCACCGGCGACGTCGAGGGCGACGTGCAACAGCCCGCCAATCCGTCTTGCAGTTCCGGTGTTTTTCGGGGCACGTCTTGCAGTGGCGTGTCTGGAGGTCCTGGGCAAAGTTCGCCACCTTGCACAGAGGGCCAGAAGACCGGAGCTCAAAACGCGTCTCGGGTTTTGGCCGCCTCCACCGGACTTCTGGCCCACTGTGCGTGTCTGGACGTCTCCCTCGGCAAAATTCACCTCCTTGGTTCGTTCGCAGTGCCGGCTCCAGTGGGCGTCCCAGGGTGTCGCGGTGCCTACGCCCCCCCCCCCCCACCTCGATTCCCCGTCGACGCCAAGCAGTGGGTCAGTGTGCTCGGCGACAGGCATTGAGCGCCAGCAGGCCGGTTCCGGAACGCCGCACCTCTCCCCCGAGTGCGAGAGAGACAGAGCAACGAGGCACCGTTTCGGAGCGGCGAGGCCCCGGCCGAGGAGGCGCGGCCCCCACAC